GATTAGCCATCGGCAGAACACTGAATCTGGACCCCTTCTTTATACCTTATACAAAAATCAACTCAAGATGGATTAAAGACAAATGTAAGACTTAAAACTATAAAAACTCTAGAAGGAAATCTAGGCGATCCTAACCATTCAAGACATAGGCATGGGCATTAACTTTATGACTAAAACACCAAATGCAATTGCAACAAAAGCCAAAATTGACAAATGTAATCTCATTAAACTAAAGAGCTTCTGCACAGCAAAAGAAACTAGATATTAGACCTTTGTCAGATGGACAGATTGCAAAACTTTTCTCCCATTTTAGGTTGCCAGAGTGGACTTAAATTTACAAAAAAAAAATTGCTATCAAAAAGTGGGCAAAGGATATGAATAGACACTTCTCAAATGAAGGCATATATGTAGCCAACAAACATGAAAAAAAAACTTATAATCACTGGTCATTAGAGAATGTAAATCAAAACCACATTGAGATATCATCTCACACCAATTAGAAAGATGATAATTAAAGTCAGGAAACAACAGATGCTGGTGAGGATGAAGAGAAATAGGAAAACTTTTACACTGTTGGTAGGAGTGTAAATTAGTCAGCCATTGTGGAACACAGTGTGACAGTTCCTCAAGGATCTAGAACTGGAAATATCATTTGACCCAGCAATTCCATTACTGGGTATATATCTAAAGGATTAGAAATCATTCTGCCATAAAGACATATGCACACAAATGTTTATTGCAGTACTATTTACAAGAGCAAAGACTTGCAATCAACCCAAATGCCCATCAATAATAGACTGGACAGGGAAAATTTGGCACATATACACCATGGAATACTATGCAGCCATAAAAAAGGATGAGTTCATGTCCTCTGCAGGGGCATGAATGAAGCTGGAAACCATCATTCTCAGCAAACTAACACAGGAACAGAAAACAAAACACCACATATTCTCACTCATAAGTGGGAACTGTGAGAACACATGGGACTGTTGAGGAGTGGGGGCAAGGGGTGGGATAGCATTAGGATGAAATCCTACTACAGGCGGGGTTTAAAACCTAAATGGTGGGTTAACAGGTGCAGCAAAGCACCACGGCACATGCATACCTATGTAAAAAACCTGCACGTTCTACACATGTATCACAGAACTTAAGGTATAATAAAAAATTTAAAAATTTTTAAAAGAATCTAAAAAATCACTTGGAATCACGGCTTTGCCCAGATTGTCTGAATTTCAGTTATATATTATTGCACTAGTTTTCTCTTGTCAAACACACGTCTGACCGTTTCTTCCATACTCCTCAAACACTAAAGGTTTTCTGTTCTTAGAATCACATCCAAATTTCTTAATTTGATCTTTTTTCCAAATGTGGCTCTTAGATACCCACATGCATGATCCTCACCTTCTCTGCCCTCAAATTCCATGTCCTTCCTCCCTTACAGATACCTGTCAGGATAGTTTCACCTTTCTGGCCTCAATTGAAATGAAATATCTGTGAAGACTGACGCATATGCCCTCCCGTGTGTCTCAAGAGACAGCCGGCATTCAATGAAGATCTATTTAAAAATTGAATGGGTGTTTTGGAGATGCCACTGCTGAGGCTTCTGCTTAACTGGGGACTCTATAACTAGATATAATTAATTAATGCACATACACATATTTAAAACAATATAATGGATACAAGACTATGCTTTTAGCGATGTAAATTATCTAAGTACAGTTAACATTATACTTTGACATAATAATAAGAATACCCTTTTCTAACACTGAAAAGGCTACATATTAATAAGGATTAGAATTGCAAAGAACAAGCTGAGCCGTACAGTAATGAACTTGTGAGGAAATCACCCAGCAACTGTACGGGAACTGAAGAATGCATCACCTCCTGATATGCTGCCAATGTAAATGGAAGTATAAGAAACCGAATGCTATTTAACATGTCTTGTGCTCCGGCAAGTCGAGGGTCATAACTTACTGTGGGAACTTCCAAGCACAGGTCACAGCAATGAGCATTAGCTTGACATTCCCAGACATCTGTCTGTGTCCAAGCCTTCAGCATTCCAGTGCAACATAAAATCATGCTGACTCGCATTCCCTGACATAAGAGACGCAGCAATTCTTTCCTTCATTGTCGGTGTATTAACAACACATTATCTGCTTTATATGGAGCTCGATTAATGACTCAGAATCGAGTCCACCCCTTTTCTGGAATCTCTACTTTGTCACAAGACTTTGGTTTTGCTTTCGCGGTCACTTCGAGGTTGGAGGACTTGACCAGGATGAAGTGCACGAGGACAAGGCACGTTCAGCTAAAGGAGAAACTCTTCTGAATCCAAATATTTAAAACCTGTGGGACATATAGTCTTAAGGGTATTTTTCACATTCATATCGCTTGGCAAAAAGCAGCTAGAAAATGACTAGATATTAACTATTTTAATAAACCATTAGAAAAAAACGTGCTTTGATTTGTAAGTTACAATTATCTTTTGTGTCTTATTTAAAAATAACTTCCAGGTTCATCTGATGAAGGGGTGCCAGTTTCTTGCAGAGAGCCCCAGCTCCGTGATTTGCCAGGAATCTCCATTTACGCCCGGCCTCCTCTTTATGTCTGACAGAACTATGAATAGCTCCTACTTTCATTCTCCAAGTGTCATAATCTGTGATGGGTATTATGACCTTCTTCATTAATGTGTATAGATTCCTTCTAGCCTCTCCCAGTTCTCAGATTCCCTTGCAGGTAGATGCTTCCGATGACATAATCAGAACATAGGACAGCAACTACTGTTCCTGAAGGCCTCTGGTGTTTCCTGAATGTCAAGCTTGGACCCATCTAACTCTCATTTCCTACTAAACCGTTTGCCCCAGATGGCATCGTAATCGTTCACTTAGACACTCCTGACTGTTCACTCATTCCCAGAACACCCAGCGGAAGTAGACAGAAATATCGAATAGGACACTGGTGTCATGATTTTCTCCCCTGTTATGCACAGCCAACAGAAAACCGACATAGCCAGCCTTAAAACAAACTCAGAATAGATTAATACACTCAGAATTACATTCATGTGAATTTTATTTTTCTCACTTGCTAATGTAAGACTCACATTCATGTAATAGAGTTTGGTGGCAATTCTGGGAATTGCATTTTCTTTTTAAAATCAGACATTGACCTTTCTACTGAGTGTAATTTATTTATTTTTTGTTTTTATTTTTTTTTTTTTTGAGACAGAGTCTCCCTCTGTCATCAGGTGCCAGGCTGGAGGGCAGTGGCGGATCTCAGCTCACTGCAACCTCTGCCTCCCGGGTTCAAGCAATTCTCCTGCCTCAGTCTCCCAAGTAGTTGGGACTACAGGCTCACGCCACCATGCCCAGCTAATTTTTGTATTTTTTTAGTAGAGATGGGGTTTCACCATATTGGCCAGGATGGTCTCGATCTCTTGACTTCCTGATCCGCCCTCCTTGGCTTCCCAAAATAATTTGTTTCTAAGTTTATTTATAAGATTAATTTATTACTTATTTAACTATTGAATAATTCAGTTAGTTAATTTATTAAAGTAATTTAACACTCAGGAGGCTATCTTGATCTGATGAGCATTTTAATATAAAAAAATTTTTAGTAATAGGACTAGTGCATAGCCGTCTCATTTGAGAGTTTTCAAGAGTAAGTGGCGTTTAAAATTCCTTATTCACAAAGTATTCTTTTGTCCTGATGCAAATGCAACACATTAGATAGCCAAATCTGGCCGGCAAATGTGTGCTCATTTTACAATGTTAAAAATAAATACTAACAGTCTTCAAATACTGTGAGACGTTGTAGGGCAATGCCAGCTGCTGAGTCACGAAGATTCCCAAGCTGAATAAGCGCAGGGTGGCATCCTACCTGGACCCCCCCATGAGAGGTTGATCTTTCACAAATCATGCACCCCCCACTGTCTCCTACACTCCATCCTCCTTTCACATTTGTATAACTGCTTGATTTTGTTGGCATCTGCTTTAGAAAATCCTACACATTACTTAATTTCTAGGTAAAATATTTGTGTTCTAGTAAAGGATTGTTCATGAATCCTTAAAATTCGTGAGAAAAAACAAATCAATTTATACTCAAGCCCTGCTTTGATGAAGGGGAAAATGGAATGAATCTAAGGAACCGATGTCCTAATAAGAGGAAGAGAATGTCTTCCATAATGACAAGAGCCTCAAGTCACAAACTGTAGCAGTGACTGTAAGCAGATGAGCGGTTGAATGGGGGTCAGCTGAACTTTACAATTATTTCCAATTAAAAATAACGATACTAATGTGAGTGCTTTGGCTTCCATCCACAGTCATCAAAGCTGGATTTGTTTGGGTATGACTGGCTAAGTAGGCACCCTTTGTCGTGCAATGTGATCACTCCTAGAGACACATACTTCGGGAAAAGAACACCTCGTAGAGCATAATCCTTATTAAGTAAAGTGTTTGTACACGTTATACTCCCTAGCTAGAAACTAAACTTTAAATTTTCACCATTCAATAATTCTAACATATCAGCTGTATTTTTTTTTAAGATAACAAAACAATCTTTTGTTCCTTATTTTTATCTTGCAGAAGTTGATGCAGATATAGTATAATATTTTTTTGAATTGCTTTTTGGGAAAGAAAATGTTACTTCAATTATAAAGTCGTATTTTAAGAAAAGGTAAAATGATGATAGCTAGCTAGCTAGTACATAGATAGATTTCCTTCCACATAGGTATAGTTTTGTGGTTCTACATTTGTTTTATTAAAAATTCAAACTATTGTTCATGGAAGCATAATTTATCTTCCATTGACAAAAACGAAGATCTTAAATTGACATGACAAAGTGCTGAGAAGAGTTATAAGGTATTTAAACCATTTCTGAATTAGGATGTTTGCAGCCTGTGTCTCAGAGGTCAGCTGAGCGCATTACCTTTGTCGCGGCATTTGAATCATTTCTGAATTAGGATGTTTGCAGCATGTGTCTCAGAGGTGAGCTGAGCACATTACCTTTGTCGCGGCATCAAAGCAGATAAATCCTGTGCTGAAGTCAATCGTGAGTCCCATGAGGTGACTTTCTAGCACACATGCATAGGTCTTGCACTAGACAGAACAGAAAGTACGATTACTATTTATGTTACTGATGCAATCTCAATATCAAGAACTATGCGGCAGCTTCTCCAATAAGTACTTTATACAATATCTAATTTAATATGAACAATCATTGTATAAAGAAGGGAGCATTATCAGTATTTTAATGTTAAGGAAACAGATGCTGAGAGTATTGGGTTTTGCCTCGCCGAGGTTCCAATCCTGCTCCCCTAGCTTTGTCTGAACATTGTGCTACACCATCTGTCTTTGCTATATTGACAATAAAGGTGGTATATAAAAAGATGTAGGTGTGGGCAAGTTTATGTTAAGCTGTTATACAATGTAGCCAAGTATCACCACATTTTCAGTAAACTAAAAAAAGGAACTATTGTTAAATAGTAGTGTTTGAATTCTCACAATATCAACTTAATGGATATTATTAAAAGAGATTCTCACACACACAAACACAGCTTCAGTAACCAAGTCAGAAGAATGTATCGTAAGAGTCTCTCTCTGTCCTCCATACCGCACAAGCTATTACTAAAGATATTTACCACTTTCCAATGTATTTGTTTAGAACTACAGATAATTCTTTAAAAATCAATAAGCAGTTACTTTTCACAATGAGATCTCATAATAATTTTTCTTTTATAAATACTTTGGAAAGACTAGTAAATATGGATACTGAAATACAAACAAAACAGGATATGATTAGAATTTATAATAAAAATTTGAGGTTTATATGCAACACTATGTATTTTTCCATCTATAAGTTTGTCTTATTTGCATTTACTTTTAATTTGCTGTGGGATATTCCAGTCATGAAAAATCTTTATGATTTATGTATGAGATAAAAGAGAGAGAGAGAGAGAAAGGAAGAGACTATTATCTGAGGCCAATTTTCAACACCTATCCTAATATTGTATTTCTTTTTATAATATTGTATATAAAACTACATTAATTGAATCCCATTCTGAATGTAATCATGACTAAATATATCAAGTTGTCTTTACCAAAAATTACATTCATGTGTTTAAGCCTTATTAGCATAGAAAAATTATAATAATGCAAAAATAGTCTTTTAGAGTTACTTTTTGTTAAACAGCAGACTAAAGAACATAATGAGCCTCAAAAGTCCATTTCTGGGAGTGATTATATTTGTTTAATACATGAGCATTTTGCATGCTTACATCCACCCATTAGCACTTTACGAAAACTATTATCAACATTAAGAAATGTTTAAGGCTATAAAATTTCCTCCTAATTTAAACACAATGGTTTGCTAATTTCAAGTACTGTCATTTAAACATGAAAATGTCAGGTGAAAACAAAGTCGGTGCAGTGCATTCAAATTTTTCTATTAAGTTCAGCATCACAAATTAGATTTTCTCAATAATCATTAAATTGAAACAAATAGATGTGATATAAATTGAGACTCACTGAATTTTCAATTTATATATAGTGTCAAGTTCTGTAATTTGTAATATTAATAGCACATCATGAATATACATAACATAGGTTTAATATTGAAATATTTAATTTCTTGTTTAATTTGTTTCATTAAAAACAAATTGTACAGAGAAAAACCAATAAATACATTATCCTTTTTAAGGAAATTCAAATGAGAAACACAAAAAGTCAATTGATTGATTTTTTTCTACCTGTTTTACAGTAGAACAGATGTTCCTTCTTTATTTAATTTCCTACCAACTTTAATGAAAGTGTTAAATTAAGAATATAGAAGAAAAACATGTAACGTTCTTTATGTAAATATGTTCACATACTTGAATTTTGAAAATAACACTATGAAAGTCTTCAGCCATTGATGTCCTATACAGTAAACAAAAGGGAGTTATAAAATACGTAGAGCAAATAAGAGCTAAAAAGGCATTAAATATTTTATTTTTCACTTCTGACACCTAACTTAAATTGTCATTATGAATGGGTAAGGAGATAGTGCAGTGTATTTTTTGGATAAAGTTTACAGAATACAAGGCCCAGATTCAAAGATTTTATCTCTATCTGGTTTATAAATATCAGGAAACTTTAAAAAGTACTAAATTGAAACCAAAATGTTAAAATTACCATGTAGTTGTTTCCAAGTGAAATGAACAATTGCAGAGAAATAATAATTTAAAAAACCTAAAACTATCAATTTAAATAACAAATTGAATTAAATTACATTCAATTAAAATATATTTTAATACTTTAAATGGTCTAGAATCTCGACTCTTGAAGTAAAATCATATTTAATATGCTTTTGATGTTTCCATTTTTGATATTATAATATCTTTTTATGAAGTTCTATGAGTTAAATTGTAGAAATTTCTTACCTATTTAAGACTTTTTAGATACTTGAAGATAAAAGCAGAGTTATTGAAAAGAGTCAAGTAAACAATTTTAAAAACTGTAATTGGAGTTTTCTCTCTGTCCTCTTCCCTGATTGTAATGTCATACTGGTGCAACTTGATGTGTTGACTACATAGGTTTGTAGTCAGAAGATAGAAATCAGTTCAACATGTTGAAAAAACATGTATCCAACAACCCTCTCTTAGGCAAACACAGCAGTATAGTCAATGCCATATTCGTTTTCAAACTTAGGTGTCCATGTGTGTATTTAGATCCTGCTTTATGGGTCCGTCTGCATGTGGCAAGCACATGATAACCTTTCCATTTGTCCACAGGTCTATTTGAGGTCAGCCACAGAACCAACTTTGGGAGACTCTTCCGTTCAACAGTCTCATGAATAATTGGTGCTGAGGGCTCTATAAAGTTTCATTTGCTCACAATGCTCTTTCTTCTAGAAAGCCTTACCTTTGTCTCTGTCATTCAAAGCCACAAAGAGTTTTTGAAACTTTTCTCTAAAGGTCATATAGTCCAGGAACATGTTCCTGATTTCCATTCTACCCTGCCCATTGCTTGCCAATACTCCACTTACAACTATCCCGTTCGAACAACGCTCTTCTCACTTTTGAATACAATGTAACCTACTTGTCTATTTTTTTAAGGATTGCTCACACTCAGTCTGTGTTGTATTGGATTGGGGTGTAGCATCACAGTTAAGAAACAAAGTTCGATAAATATCTGTTGAATATGCATAATGTGTAAAATGCACTGGACTTTGGTTGGCATATTAATAAGATAATTCCAAACAGCCAATAATTTAGTGCAGAGAAGGATAAGCACATGTCACTCCAATACAACACAGACTGAGCGTGAGCAATCCTTAAAAAAATAGACAAGTAGGTTACATTGTATTCAAAAGTGAGAAGAGCGTTAGAACGGGATAGTTGTAAGTGGAGTATTGGCAAGCATTGGACAGGGTAGGCTGGAAATCAGGAACATGTTCCTGGACGATATGACCTTTAGAAAAAAGTTCCAAAAACTCTTTGTGGCTTTGAATGACAGAGACAAAGGTAAGCCTTTCTAGAAGAAAGAGCATTGTGAGTAAATGAAGCCAAAAGGCTGGAAATGAGGAAGTCATATTTGGCAAACAGGAAGTGACCATGTCAACAATTAATTAAATCAGAGGATTTTCTATATTAGATTGAATTCAGAGCAATGTCCAATTAAAATTAGAAATATATTTTTGATTAGTAGTAGAAAATAGCCTGGAATGATCAAGTTGTGGAAAACTTAAAATTTTATTCAGAGCTGTATTACTAATCACTAAACAAAAATGGCTAATGACGGAATGTCTTTGAGGAGGTCAAGACTCCCAGAACTGTATTTTTATACTACTTTGGAATGAATTGTCATGCATTTGAGAGAGGCACAGATCCTGCGGTCCTGCAGACTCTCACCTGTATCCGTTCTACTTCTAGAAAGGTTGCTGTCTGGAAGGCTCTTTCCCACTGGGCGAGGTCACTTTCCAGCTCCACTGAGAAGTACAGGTCCTCCCCAGACTCCGACTGCACGGTGAAGCAGTGTTTCCTCCGGTCCAGCAGGTCACTGTCCTGATGAAAACCTGGAGTTACACAAGCTGGCACACATCACTTCACATTGCTAACCTGGCCATTCCCTTCTGGAGCAAGGTGCGGAAGCCACAGTTAAAAAGATTAACATTGTGTGACTTCACCAAGCCTTCATTAAAAATTATTCCACAACTCCAGGCTTCAAAGCCAATAACTAACATGAGATCAATCTTTACACTGAAACATGTCCATAAATTAGAATTTAGTGTTTCTGACATTAACTCTTACTAACAGTATAACGACCAAATCTTTTAACATAAGAGACTTGGTTTATTACCGTACAAAGGGCTGACACACTATCTCCTCTCGTCCTTACATAACCGTTACGATGTTGAAATCAAATAATGCTTATGTACATGTTTGTAAATTTTAAGAACTTTTTAAGTAAGCTAAAACATTCTCCATGAGATATGAATAAGGAAATGAGTCTAACTTGTCTACAGCCATATTCCTTAAAAAGACAACACATTTACCTTACTTGTGTAACTGTATTTTATTGCATCAAAAAGACAACTTTGATGTGGGCAATGTCTTGGTCTTACCAGAAGTTTTCAGCTAAAGTGTTCACAAATGTATATGTATTCCAATTTAAGAGAGGTTAACATGAGAAAAAGCAGTGAAGTAAATAATTTATGAAACGGAGTAACCCAGTACAGCATGTCAGGGATAGCATTTTACATACAGTCATGTGTCACATAGGACGTTTGGGTTAATGATGAACCGCATATGCGATGGTGATCCTGTAAGCTTACAATGGAGCTGAGAACTTGCCATGCACTACCAATGCCATAGCCATTGTAATGTCATAGAACAATGCATTGCTCACGTGGGCATGAACATGCTGATATAAACAAACTTGCTATGCTGAGAGTTGTATAACGCTGGCACATACAATCACGATGTATTGTACATAATAATAATAAAGATTGTGTTACTGGTTTATGGATTTTCCGTATTAAACTTTTATTGATTTTTTAGTGTACTCCTTCTAATTATTAAAAATAAATAGTTAACTATAAAGACCTCAGGCAGGTCCTTCTGAAGGTATCCAGAAGGCATTGTTATCATAGGAGATGACAGCTCCATGCATGTTATTGTCCCTGAAGACCTTCCGGTGGGACAAGATGTGATGGTGGAAGAGGTGATATTGGACAGCCTGACTCTCTCTGTGTAGGCTTAGGCTAATGTGTGTGTTTCTGTCTTAGTTTTTAAGAAAAATATTTAAAAAAAAAACAAGAAAAAGAAATTTATAAATTTAAAAGTAGGACAAACACATAGAATAATAGAATAAGAATACAGAATAATTTCGTACAGCTGCATAACTAAGCTAAGCATTTTTACAAAAAGTCCAAAGTTAAAAAAATTAAGTTTGTAAAGTAAGAACTCTTATAGTAAGCTAAGGTTAAATTATTATCAAAGAAAGAAAAATACCTTTTATAAATGCAGTGTAGCCTAAGCGTTCAGTATTTATAAAGTCTGTAGTGCTGTACAGTAATGCCCTAGGCCTTCACATTCACTCACCACTCACTCACTGACAACCAGAGTAGCTGCCATCCTGCAAGCTCCATTCATGGTAAGGTCCCTGTACCTGTGTGCCACTTCTTAAAATCTTTTAGACTGTATTTTTACTTTATTTTTTCTGTATGTAGATGTGTTTAAACATCTACTTACAATTGTGTTACTTTTGCCTACAGTATTCAGTACAGTTATATGCTATCCAGGTGTGTAGCCTAGGAGCAGTAGCTATGCTGTATAACACAGCTGCACAGTAGGGTATGCAGTCTCAGGTTGTATAAGCACATTCTGCGGTGTTCGTACACTAGCAGAATCATCTAACCGAGAGGCACTTCCTGGAATACATCTCCATTGTGAAATGCCTCATGAGAGTATATATGCTGTATATACGTAGTGTACTGAAAATTGTCACAGGGTTAATGACTGGTATCTTTAATCATTTCTCATAAGGAGGGATATAAGTGTATAATTGTTAAACACCCAAAATGTTAGATGAAATTCTCTGCTTTGGCAAGTGTTTTAAAAATAATATTTTTCTTATTTCCTGCTTGCATTCTTATAATCACTGGAAGAGAGTTAACGGAAGGCAGTCACTCCCAGGGTTGTAGAATTTAACTCCGACCCTTGCTGCCAGTGGATGCTCAGAAAGCTAAAAGGATGATAAACAGTGTGCTTATTGATTTTCCTACTCTCTGAAGGGAGAGCAAATAAAAACATAGTATTTTTGTGGGTTCGGTCCAATGACAAACTGATTGTAAATACTTTTTAGCAATTTTGGGATTATAATGTCTAGAGGGGCAACAGTGACAGATAATAACCGCATAAGTAAACATGTTTGTACAAATTATTATAAGTGCCATTATGTAAAAATAAATAAGAGGCTGGGCATGATGGCTCCCCTCTGTAATCACAGAACTTTGGGAGGCCGAGTCAGGTGCATCACTTGAGGTCAGGAGTTCCAGACCAGCCTGTCCAATGTGGTGAAACCCCGTTTCTACTAAAAATACAAAAATTAGCCAGGTGTGTTGGCACGTGTCCCAGCTATGTGGGAGGCTGAGGGAGAAGATTTGCTTGTACCTGGAATGAGGAGTTTGCAGTGAGCCAGTATTGGGTCACTGCACTCCAGCCTGGGCAACAAGAGTGAAACTCCATCTCAAAATATATAAATAATAAGAATGGGATATTACATCACGATAGATTGAAAAGCCAGAGAAACGTTTTCTACCAAGTAAATTTTAAACAGTAGGCGAAAACAGCTAGAAGATTAAAGATAAAAAGTAGCTAAAGGGTGTTCTTTCCAGAAAGTGGAAGGAGCTGGCTGGGGCCTGAAGTAAGAGCAAGTGGGGCATTCCAGAAATTCAAATAAAAGGTGGCAGAAACATTAAGAGTGGAAGCCAGGGAAGGACATGGGATGATAATCTGGTTGTACATTTTGGACTTGAACACAGTAAAATGACAAGCTACTACAGCAAAAATTTCATTATACCCTTTCTTTATACTGCAGGTATTTCAACATCTACATTAGCTTTTTAAATTGATAACAGTGGAACAAAAACTAGAAGTCAGCATTGCAGTTTCCAGAAATTTCGCCAATTTTATGGTTTATTAAATTGGCCTTAGTCTTCCTCATAATAAAAAAGTTATCTAATGTCATTATTGGTCAGAAATTTTGGTATTTTTTTCCTTTTCATAAATTACATGTAGCAATAAGATCTTAAAATGGCCTTCATGAAGATTTTGTATTCTCTCGGCAAAACTTTGCACATTTACTCTTTAAAAACTCAATTTAAGATTTTCTATTGTGTTACCCAACTGGTGACTCTCTCAGGCAAAGTATCCTCTGTTCAACTCTGCAAATATAGTTTCAGCAGTTCTGAATACTTGTTGCCATTTGATGTTGTTATTTATAAGATACTTCTCATGAACTGACACCACAAATGGCATGTGAGCATCCAGGTCTCGGTTTAGTGAGAAAGAGAGATATGTCAAAATAATGAGCATATGACAGTGCTATAGGGGTAACATGCTAAGGAAGCAGAATAAGGAGTGATAAATGATCTGGAGGGAAAGTAGGAGGGGTAAGTTGTATTGTGGGGAGAGAGCGTAGTACCATCAAGCACTTAAAGACAAGTGCACAGCAATCAGGTGCAAGCTTGAAGAAGACCAGGTGATCCTGCTAAAAATGCCCTGAATGCACCTGCCAGGAAAAGCCACTGGAGGGTTTTATGTAAGAAGGAGGCAGCACGGACTCTAAGCTTTAGAAAGCTAAGAGTGGATGAGTGGGACAAGGAGAAACTGCATAAAAAGCAAGCGATCCGTCATCAGATTTAGTGAAAAGTGACTATTGCTCAGACACTTTAAAGATCTACTTTCAAAGTAATCATCTAAAATAATTGACACTAGATTTCTTATACCAGAGTTTCTACCTTTCCTGACTATGACATTTCAAAAGAATGTGTTCCCTTATGATCGCGGTCATTATCAAGTTATATGCAATCAATAATATATATAGTTAACTGAAAAACTAAATAAGATACTCATAGAGACTGGCATTTAGTAGAAGCATTAGTAGAATAACGCATATTACACATGATCATCCACATGGGTATAAATAAGAAGGTAGATATTCCTCTTTCTCACCCTCATTCTCTCACTCACACACATGCAGGAGCTACAAAAAGGTGAGAAGAACACAAGCTCTAGCTTCAGAATTCTATTTCAATTTGAATCTCCTCTCTTTTACTTAGTAGGTGATCCTCGGCAAGTTGATTACCGTATGTATAGCTTCCTTTACTCATCAATAAAGTGGAAGTAATTGATCTGATGATTAAATAATATACTATTTTTAATTTTTTGCTTAGTCTCTAAAACATGGAAGTACTTAATTAATGTTGGGTATTTCTGTTGTCAGTGTTGATTCAATAAAATAAATGTAGATAAACATATGTATCATTTCCTAACTTGCCTTCTATGGCTTGCTCTTTGCAAGCATTTCTATTTTGGTCAAAGTGTAACTGATGCCCATGTAAAAGCAATAGCCTCCAGCATACTTTTTTGCTAATTGGAAAGTATCATTAAATAATGGTGATAATAAGAATAATAGCTAAACACATCAAGAACACATCTTTTGCATTTTTATGAATTTTCTCGCTTCTCCAGACGTATCTTCTGTTTTTTCAAATTTTCCAAGTGCTCTGAGCACTTTCTGTAGACTGATAACCACATGCTGTCCTTCACTGGACACCTCTCAGATTTATAAGGCAATATTCCAAAGAAACCACAGTTGTTTTTTTCAAGATGGCTGACTGGATGCTTTTCCAGAGTACCTCATTCACTTAGAAAAATAACAACAGTGCATAGACAATCACTTTGCACATATGAAAAAAAAATCAAATCTTGGGATCCCAAACTCATTATATCAAAGGGCTAAGCTTAGGTAGCAAGTTATGCAAAAAACTGCCTTTTTT